GTTTCAGAGCTCGCTGTGCCTCCTGAAACAAAACAAAGATTATTGCTGCTGCTGTGTGGTTCAGAACAACACATTTCATGACCCATTTAAATCATCTGATGAGTACTGTTTAAAACATAACTGAAAGAAAAATGAATTGCTTCAAGTTCAAAACATTTGCAAATATGATTCAAAGTAAAACATTTATATTTCATCAACTTAAACCATAAAGATTATTTTAGTTAAATAAGAATTTTTCCCACAGAAAAACCATACATAGCTGAAATCATACTGAGGGAGAAAAGAGATCTGTCCTCTTTTTTCCTGTAACTTTGATAAACATTCTCTGATTATCAAAATGCGTAATACTTTCAGTTAAGAGACTGCTAAATCAAATAAGAAGATTCTTCTGTTTTTATCTGATTTAGAGGGAAAGTGGCCTTGGGTGGCCTAAATACATTTCTAAGTGGAACAGAGTTTTTGTCCATTAGAAGGCCCATCAGAGGACTGAGAGTCCAAGATAGTTCCTTGATAATTTGACTCGAGGTGACCCCTACATGTAGTAGGCTAAAACTTGACATGCTGCACCTGAGTGGGACACACTGGGACAGGAGGAGAGACTGAGAGAACTCATGCTGTCCAGGATAAGAGATTAAAGAGCATCAAGGACGAGTTCTCAGAGCGCAAGGCTCGTCATACGTCCTTCAGTAGTGGTGAGTACTTCTGTTTGAAATTGCGTTTGTGAACATGTGGGCCGCTGTGCCAGTTTCACTTAATTTTAGCTACTGATGGTACAGGTTCTGAGTTGAAATAGATAAAGCTGGTGTCAAAATGACCTGACCACTATCCGTGGTCCCGAATAGTTTTGAATTTGTGTTGTTGAATGTATTTTTATTATTATCTTTTTTAAACATTTCATGTCTGTTTGATGGACTTCACAATAACATAGCCGCTCTGTGGTGCTAAAGATTGTAAGCGCTGCTGTTGCAGGTGTGTTGTATAAAATTACATAATGAGCTTTATTATTTGGTATAAAGGGCCCGGTCATCTGCCCCACCCCCGGCCCAGCTCTTATTTGTTCCACTAGTGACTCTGTGTACATTGTCAACAAAACTAAAACTAAAATCTTTTATTTAGAAATTTATTCAAATATTAAAACAAAAAGAAGGTAAATGTTTTTAATCTTTGCAGCTTTAAATGTTTGGCGACAACAATGATTGTTCATTCAGATAAAACCAAGACCTGTAAAACTAGAGGTCTGTAGTGAATTTAGACAAATGTGTTCAAAAACAAAACTTATTTGAAATATCCTAAAGTTATACATGTATATTACTGTATGTAAAAATACTGTGATTTTTGATAACATACTTCTGCAGTACTTATTGTTACCAACAAACCCTGAAACCTTTAGGTTTCAGTTGTTTGTGAACTCTCATGTGTCTTCAGGACATTTCTTAATGTTCACATCTGAGCTGTTCCTCCTGTTTGACTTCTCATCTGTGTTCTAGGAGTCATTGGAAACCACTGCTTTGTTTCTGGTGTGGATCTTCATGTGTCTGTTGAAGCTTGATTTATCACCAAATCTTTTTTCACAAACATCACAAGCAAATGGTTTCTGCCCTGTGTGGATTCTCATGTGTCTGTTAAAAGTTGATTTATAGCTAAACTTTTGTTCACAAACATTACAAGCAAACACTTTCTGTCCTGTGTGGATCCTCATGTGTGTGTTTAAAGTTGATTTATAGCTAAACTTTTGTTCACAAACATTACAAGCAAACAGTTTCTGTCCTGTGTGGATCCTCATGTGTTCCTTAAAAGATGATTTATGGCTACATTTTTGTTCACAGACATCACAAGCAAATGGTTTCTGTCCTGTG